CAGATACCATACAATAGTGTGTGTGTGTGTGTGTGTGTGTGTGTGTGTGTGTGTGTGTGTGTGTAAAAATCTAGTGAAAAAGGCTGATGCAGTGCAAAGAATTACAACTCTTGGTTATTAGCAAATCTCAGTCAGAGGCAGGAGAGTCACTCAGTGATTCAGTGATGGCCTAAAATTAGCAAGACTTTTTCCATCCCCAGTAAAACAAACAAACAAATCTCGGTTAGAAATGGATTTGTTCAGAACAGCCCAAGGGGGGCCGAATGGATCTCCCTGAGAAGAGGGAATAGAATAGATTTCATGGGTAGACTTTGGGCAGGTGGGGATGGGATCAGGATAGATTAGGTAGGGGATGTGGAGGGAGAGAATACTGGGAAAAATGACTGGAATGGGGGGGGGTGGCGCATTTCCAAGGTGAGGTAGAAACCTAGTGCAATGGTAACTCCCAGGAATCCACGAGGGTGACCCTAGTGAAGACTCATAGTAATGGAAGATATGAAACCTGAACCAGCCATCTCCTGTAACCAGGCAAGGCTTCCAGGAGAGGGATTGGGACACCAAGCCAGCCACAAAACCTTCAACTTACAATTAGTCCTTCATACAAGATGTGCTGGAGTAAAGGTGGTACAGAACTTGTGGGAGTGGCCAGCCAATGCCTGGTCCAACTTGAGACCCACAACACAAGAGACAGCCTATGCCCAGACACTGCCGGGAGGGCCAGGAACCAGTCTGGATAGCCCAGAGATCTAGGAAGGAACCAAACATGCCTGGAAAAAAAAAGTCAAAGAAATGATTCCTAATGATACTCTGCTATACTCATAGACCAGAGCCTAGCATAATCATCATCAGAGAGGATTCACCCAGCAACTTTAGGAGCAGATGCAGAGACCCACAGTCAAACATTAGGTGGAGGTTGCGGAATCTTGCAAAAAAGGACAAAGAAGGATTATAGGAGCCAAAGGGGTGGAGGACACCAGGAGAACACAGCCCACAGAATCAACTAACCAGGGCTCACAAGGACTCACAGAGACTCAACTAGCAATCAGGGAGCCTATATGAGTCTGACCTAGGTCCCCTGTACTTATGTTACGGTCGTGTGACTTGGTGTTCCTGTGGGACTCCTAACAGTGGGGTTAGGGGTGTCTCTGACCCTTTTGCCTGCTTTTGGGACCCTTTTCCTCCTACTGGGTTGCCTCAAGTAGCCTTGATATGATGGGATGTGCCTAGTTTTATTATAACTTGATTTGCCATGTTTGGTTGATATCCCTGGGAGGCCTGCCCTTTTCTGAAGGGAAAGGAGGAGGAGTAGATCTGGGGGAGAGGGGAGGTGGCAAGGGGAACTAGGAGAAGAGGAGGGAAGCTGCAGTCAGGATACAATGTATGAGAGAAGAATACATTTTAAATAAATAATGTTTAAAGAAAGAAAGAAAGAAAGAGATGGATTTGCTCATCTGAGCCATTGTTTCAAATTAACATGCTTCATCAGAAGGAAAGATTCTAGAACAAGCTTAATGAAACTGATACATTTTTATTTTCATTTCAGAGGATAAGTTCCTTAGGGAATGTGTGATGAAAAACAAACAGGTGTCTAACTGCTTGCATATTTGGCAAAGGATTCTTTCATTAAAATGAAATAAGCATTGCAAACAAATACAGCACACGTTAAATAATCCCTAGCTTTCGTGGCTAGCTCAGTAGAGAGCAGGTGAGGATTGTACCACTGAATCACCTGTGTGTTTAAGCTGGATGAAGGGAAATGCTTCTTCATCAGAAGAGGAAGACTGTCCAGATGCTGACAACTGACACCTTTCTGCATCCCCAGCCTCCTGGGATTTGGGGAGGTTTGTTTTTGGTTGGTTGTTGGTTGGTTTTGAGACAAGGTCACTCTGTAGCCCAGACTGGCCTGGAACTTGTGATTCTCCTGCCTCCACCTCCAGAATACTGGGATCACAGATGTGTCCCACACGTGCAGCTCATTCCTCATATTTAGTGTCCATTTGCTTGCCGTTGTAGTAAAGTATCCCAGTAGGACCTGTAATCAGGATGACTCGGCGCGGGGAGGTTGGGGTGACTGACCAGCCTGGGACAGTGGAGTTTAAGGAGTTGAGCTGCGGTGGCACCATGCAGGGACCAGTGTGTGAACCTCCCCATCAGCATCGAAAGAGAGAGTGCCCAGGTCCTTTATCAGCTTGCCTGGATATAGAAGGGAAGAGGGAAACCAACATGCAAGCCTGAAAAGCTGCCAGCAGCCAACCCCATGGTCACCAGGCTCTTCATGACAAACACAGCAAGGCAGTTCGAAGACAAGGAAACCCTGCTCCAGCCATCTCTGTCACCTCTCATCACAGTTTAACAAAAGCTTCAGCCCCGGAAAACCCCATTTCCAGGTCCTGTAAGCTCCCATCATGCCACTGATGCTTCAAGAAGCAAGTTCCAGAAACATGAGCATGACAGCTGATTAGGGATAAATAAGGTTTTGTTATTGTTTTGTTTATCTTTCTCAAAACAAAAGGAGACCTCAGGGACAGGTTATCATGGGCATGAATTATCTTTGTAGGTAGAGGGGGAGGGTGACACTGTTTAAAAGACTTTTCATAAGCAGAACAATTCCCACTCTCAGTCTATGCAGTGAGCTTTAGGTTCCCACTAAGTACATCCATCCCCTTATCTGTCACTAACCTTGCATATGTTTCTTGTTTGATTTGGGTTGGGTTGGGTTTTGGTTTTTGAGGCAATCTATTACAATCCAGGCTGGCCTTGAACTTGCTATGTAGCTAAAGATGACCTTGAACTCCTGATCCTTCGACTCCCTTGTCTTTCCATGCCACCACCACACCCAGCATGTATTTGTATGTAGGTTTCTGTTCTTGTATTTTCTTTTTCGCCTTCTCTACTAAGGTTGCCTTCTGTGTATTGTTTTCTGATACCATAGGAAATGAGAATAATGAGTCTGACTGAGAGCTCGTGGAAGAATAAATGCAAAATCACCAGGAATCAATTTTTATGGGTTATAAAGCTCTGAATCATCTAGTAAGTTTTTCCCGGGTAACTGAGTCTGATCAAGTTCCCACTTGGCTCAGCTTTCCTGCTGGAACTGCAGCTGCTCCACTCCCCCACTCTGATCGCAGACCACGAAGTGCTGCTTCTCCTTGGGTGGGCAGACTCATACAGCTAAACCTGCCTTGGGTGGGAGCTGGAGAAGAGCCAGTTTGCTCCTGTAATATTGAGGACCCTTCTGGATAAATTACCTTAGATATTGAACCAAATATTTGTGTTTTTCTGTTATCATCCTTGGAGAACAATAGAGGGTTCTTTCCCTTTTTTTTTTTTAATATTTTCTATATCTATTTTTAGAGTCACACAAAAATATCTCAGAGTTGTATTAAGTGCCCAGTGCCTAATTAGCTTTCTCTTTTTACCTAAACTGATATAGATTGATATGGCTCTCCTCCTATCTGCTTCTATTACACCCTGAGTCCAAATCACCTCTTTCTCTCAATGAAGGGACTCAGGCATGCAAACACAACAGCAGCATCTCCAGAGCAAAGCTAACATCAACCACCAGAGAAAACGAGTATAAACCTATCCTCTGACTTCCACCTGCAGATCAGTCTTACAAAGGCCAGACTTTGTCCCCCCACGGTTTGGATGACTCTGCTCAGCTTTTCCCCACAAGAATGGTCAAGTTGAAAGTCTGTTGGATGTCCATACCACACAATACTCCATCGTCACCCCCCCCTTTCCCTTTGAGGGAGTTAACACTTACAGAAAACAGTTAACAAAGAAGAGAAATACAGCATTGAAAAAAAAGTCAGTCTCCAGTTTTTGCTACTATGGGAGTTGGAGGAAGATTGTAATAGAAAAGGAAAAAAAAGTCTGCCAAGGTCAAGCCTCTTTATCCTGCTCACCTCTATTCTAAAAATGAAAACCTATCCCATGGAAAGGGTGGCCTCCTCATTTGAAAGTGGAGCTGCTCAGAGCATTCTTAAAGTCTTCAAACAGTTTATCAATTTATAGGAAACAAACTCCTCCACCCTAAATGTAAGAAAGAAAGCTGATCCCAGATACATTATTCCACCTTCACGTGATTTAATCTAGCTGTTTCAGATCAATACTTTTTTTCATCTTTACTCTAGAGGATCAGCTGTGTGCAAACAAGGAGCTACCAGTTCACACACTGGAAACGTTTGTAGGGTCTTTGAGCTTTAACACACTTGCAAAAGATGCGTTTCTTTTCTGTCAGATCCCTTTTGGATATTTGCAGTTCAAGGACAGTTGCTTGCCACCTCCCATCCCTCACAAGACTACAGCAACCTGAGACTTCCTAGTGCTCCTGCCTGTATCCTGGCTGCGAGAGCGTCCAGCCAGAAGGGCAACTCGGCAAGGCCCAGCTTGATGCCCTCAAATGTCTTTACCTGTTCCAACATTGCCACCACCCAAGCTCAGAAAGGACTGGCCGCAGGCCAAAGGAGGCAGCGGTCCTCTCAGCCTCTGGCTGCCTTGTCAGAGCCCTAGAGGCGGAAGAAAGGAAGGAAAATGCCCCACCACCTGGCACAGGGCCCACCATCCTGCTCGCCCCCCCCCCCCGGCGCCCACTTATTGCATCCTTTACACACACTGGATCCAGTACAACAAGGAACAGAGCCCAGCTGAACACTGAAGTACCCCACGGGGGATTCACAGAACTGACTCCTCTGCTCTGCCTAGCCGGGTGCTCGGCCTGGGCCTCCTCGGAGGGGCGCGCCACTTGGTGGCTGTTGATAGATCCACGAGTACCAGGGATGGGGTGGCTGCCGGGCCCTGGAACACAGGACACGCCCCAAGAGCCCTGGCTGGCATTGCCAGGTAACTAGGGTGGACAGCCAAGCGGCACTTGAAGGGTGGCCCCCAGTCTGCATCTGTGAATTCCCTTCCTAAAGTAACAGAAGCTAAAATCTGGAGTGCTGGAGCCCCAGCGGTGGGAGAGAGGCTGCGTGTCTCCGGGCGGAGTGACCACTCACCTGGCAGTCGGTACCAGAGACCCCAGCGGGACAGGTGCAGCTGTAACCGGACTCAGCATCTGCCGCGGGATGCTCCTGGCCGGCCACCGAACGCGGGGTGCACACACCCCCGTTCTGGCAGGGCTGAGCGGCGCACGGTCCCGGAGCAGGCAGGGGCGCGGCGGGCACCGGGCTGGCCAAGCAGCCGCCCTGGGGCCCAGCACCGAGCAGCAGCGGCAGCAGGGCCAGCGCGGGCAGCAGCTGGGCACCGGGCGCCTGGGCGCGGCGGGGAGGCATGACGGGCGGAGAGGACTCAGGAGCTGGAGAAGAGCTGGGCGCGGTGGCAGCGGCGGAGCTAGCGGCGGAGATGGCGGTAGCAGCAGCAGCGCCAGCGGCTGGTGCTGCTCAGCGGGACCGGACGCCTCCTGCAGCTGCAGGAGCCCGTGGTTCCCCGGGCAACCGCGGGCGGGGCAGGGGGCGGGGCCCGCGGAGGCTGGGAGGACCCGGGATGGGAATCCTGCTCCGAGTCTCAGCAAGTTGCCGAAAGGCTGTCCTCCGTTTCCAGCTTCATGGGGTCAGAGTCGTGGGTGTGTCCAAAGAAAGACTGGAAGGCACAGAGGTGGGGGCGCGGGCCTACAGCCGGCAGCGAGGCGATGCTGGGGTGGAAAGTGGGTGGAGAGACCGCTTCAGATGGCTCGTAGCTGCCCCTCGCGACCTCTTGGCGCAGAATCTGTGAGGCCGCAGCGGGACCAGCCTGACCTCATTCTCGCGGGTGCTCCACCCGCTCCCAAAACACTTGTCCCTGTCCCTAGCACGTACAGCTCGCGCGCGCCATTGGCAAACCCAGCCGACCTCGAGTGGAGCTGACCTTGCACCTCCAGGACCCGCTGCGAGGCCCTTGTCCTTGGTGCTGAACCGGCAGTCTCCTCGCCAGGCTTTGCGGAGCACAGAGCTCAGAGA